GCCTTTCAAGTGATAATAATATATGTGTAAGAGAAAGGTGGTTTACTATAACTGATTCATTTCTTTCCATTGGTTTTTGGTGAAGCCCTTAGCTAGGAGTGACTTATCATGCTTTGTTCTTATTATCTAGTTTTTGAGTCAAATGTTGCTCCACTTTGCCAGTAGCTAGGGTTATTTTCTATGATTGTTCAGACTTTTGCTTATTGCCTCTCTAGGCTTTGCTATATTTAAGATTGCATGCCTGATCTAAGGGTTACAGAAGGGTTACATTGGAAATGTGACTAGTTAATTTTATTAATCTAATAAAGCTATTTGGATATAATATATGCTATACTTGCAAATCTTTAAACTGACAGGGAAATTGCTATGGTAAATTTTTTGAAATCCTCCATTAAATCATGTAAGTTTATTTTAAGTTGATGTATCTTTCTAATAAATAAAGTTTATAAATATACCAGAATGAAATACTCAAGATAGGTCTTAGTTCAAGGGGGAAGAGATTAGTGCAGCTCTGGAGAAACTACTTTAACTGTAGCGCAACAAATTATACAAATGTGTGTAGCCACATCTGTGGAGAAATTTGATCATCTTTTTCAGGTAAATACATAACCCATTCAAACAGAAGATTATATTTTTCTTATTAAAAATTACTATACACTTAAAGAATATATGTGGCAAGGGCTGTGACTATATGTACATGAATGTACTATTACTTAGGTCCGTATATGGTAAAAGACTGAATCAAAAACAAGATGTTTTTGAATATAGGTAGCATTTTATTTATACATTATAGATAAGTAGATAGTCATATGCATATACACCAAAATATCATTGTCAATTGGGCCTGGAAAATTAGTGTATTTCTTTAATTACATGTTTATCAATACATTATCCAACTTATCAGCTGAAGTTTAAATTGCTTATAAATTAATCTTACAATAAAAATTACTATTTAGAAGGACCTAAAAATTACATCTCAGAGCAATTTGCAATAAATGAAACAATAGAATTTAAGTCAGAAGTTAGTGACAATATTTTTGTACTCTATACTCATTTTATATTAGCAAATTTGACATAAATTGAAGTAGATGTACAGAGTGCCATATAAGTTTCATTTCTATCCATGTCTGAATATATAAATAAATACATAAGTATTGTACTTCATTAGTGTATATACGGATTACATATATTTCAGCTAATTTTAATATTACTTTTAATCATTCAGATGAAAAATATGTACATGTATAAATATATTTGTATATTAATGATTTGCTTTGTTTTGCTGTTATTAGAAGCATCAGTTCAGTTCAGTTCAGTCACTCAGTTGTGTCTGACTCTTTGTGACCCTATGAACCGCAGCATGCCAGGCCTCCCTGTCCATCACCAGCTCCCAGAGCTTACTCAAACTCATGTCCATTGAGTCAGTGATGCCATCCAACCATCTCATCCTCTGTCATCCTTTCTCCTACCACTTTCAATCTTTTCCAGTATCAGGGTCTTTTCAAATAAGTTAGCTCTTCACATGAGGTGGCCAAAGTATTGGAGTTTCAGCTTCAGCATCAGTCCTTCCAATGAACCCCCAGGACTGATCTCCTTCAGGATGGACTGGTTGGATCTCCTTGCAGTCCAAGGGACTCTCAAGAGTCTTCTCCAACACCACAGTTCAAAAGCATCAATTCTTCAGCGCTCAGCTTTCTGCACAGTCCAACTCTCATCAGGGCGCATACAGATTGCATGCAGCAGCCTCTCAGATGCCCTTTGCCCTTTTGTGAGCATCACTGGAAGCTTTAAGGAACAGAGCAGTATGACATGTTGGAAGCCAGCCCTGTGCATGCTGGCCCTGCTCTGGTGTGAATGAGAGCAGGTGCACCAAGGTTGAGCAGATGCATCAACCTTGTACTNCACTGTTTCCACTGTTTCCCCATCTATTTGCCATGAAGTGATGGGACCAGATGCCATGATCTTAGTTTTCTGAATGTTGAGCTTTAAGCCAACTTTTTCAGCTCCTCTTTCACTTTCATCAAGAGGCTGTTTAGTTCTTCTTCACTTTCTGCCATAAGGGTGGTGTCATCTGCATATCTGAGGTTATTGATATTTCACCTGGCAATCTTGATTCCAGCTTGTGCTTCATCCAGCCTGGCATTTTGCATGATATACTCTGCATATAAGCTAAATAAGCAAGTGACAATATACAGCCTTGATGTATTCCTTTCCCAACTTGGAACCAGTCTGTTGTTCCATGTTCAGATTAACTGTTGCTTTCTGACCTGCATACAGATTTTCAGGACGCAGGTCAGGTGGCCTGGTATTCCCATCTCGTTCATAATTTTCCACAGTTTGTTGTGATCCACTCAGTGAAAGGCTTTGATGTTGTCAATAAAGCAGAAATAGATGTTTTTCTGGAACTCTCTTGCCTTTATTCTGATTCAGCAGATATTGGCAATTTGATCTCTGGTTCCTCTGCCTTTTCTAAATACAGCTTGAACATCTGGAAGTTCACGGTTCACGTACTGTTGAAGCCTGGCTTGGAGAATTTTGAGCATTACTTTACTATCGTGTGAGATGAGTGCAATTGTGCAGTAGTTTGAACATTCTTTGGCATTGCCTTTCTTTGGGTTTGGAATGAAAACTGACCTTTTCCAGCATGTGTATATGTAATTTATAGACTGTCCTTTCCTGGAACAGATTGGCCAATGAGAGGACATGTAACACTTTATTTTATATAAATGTTTTGTATCTCTCCAGTTTTAATTTTTGTAAATGTTTTGATAATTATACTTTAAAATATATGTATTGAATTAATTTAATTTTAATTGAAGCATTCTTCTCTCTGGAATTATTTGAAATATTGAGTCTATAGAAAATTATCATGGTAAATTTCAGCATTATTATTATTGGTCTTTGTAATATGGAATGGATACCTAAGGTGTATCTAGAAACACCAACCTATAATATGCTATTGCTGACCATGTAGTGGGAAGGGTGGGATGCATACAAAATGTATATTTAGAAAAAGCTATTATTTAAAACATTTTTAATTCATGTGAATTTCTCAAGGCTTACCTCAGCAATAATAACATTACTACTAGTAAAAATGGCAATTGAGGGATTATTATTCTGTGCTAGGATCTTAATATTCATTTTTAAATTTAATATTTGTAACACTTGTCTGAGGTATTTTTGCCTTTATGGTGTAGATTAGGATTATGAAATTAAGATTAAGTGACTTGAACAGGATAATTTTTTTTTTTATCTTTTTTTTGTTGTTGTTTTTATTTATTTATTTATTTTTATTAGTTGGAGGCTAATTACTTTACATCATTACAGTAGTTTTTGTCATACATTGAAATGAATTAGCCATGGATTTACATGTATTCCCCATCCCGGTCCCCCCTCCCACCTCCCTCTCCACCCGATCCCTCTGGGTCTTCCCAGTGCACCAGGCCCGAGCACTTGTCTGAACAGGATAATTTTACAAGTTAAGTGTTTCAGAAGTGAGCAGCCTCCTGAGGAATGTCTAGAAACTGAGACAAAGCTTCAAATGCCTGTCCATCAAAGATAAATCAGTGGTTATGCTATTGTTCTTGGAATGAATTTCAAGAGTATTCAGACTATATTGCCAAGACTAATCAAAAACATTTCACGGAAGCTGAATTTGTGATTTGCTGGATTCTCTCTGGACATAAACCAGCATACACTATCAGATCTTCATGCAAAATCTTGAAGATTACAGAAATATTCCATGGACAGAGAAGCCTGGAAGGCTACGGTCCATGGGGTTGTGAGGAGTTGGATATGACTGAGTGACTAACACCTTCACTTTTTTCCGAGAAAATGAAGTTTAAAAAATTGCTGTTTTGCTATTTTCCCTTAAGATTCTTGTGTATGTGCATTAGTTGTAATGCAAGGTCCAATTTGATGGGAAATTATTATGATGTTACTTTGCTTTCAGTGCAGTTTTTTGCAAACAGAATACAGAAAAGAATAAAGGAGAAAATTTAGAAAAGGGGGAGAAAGAACTAGAAAAATAAAAATAAGAACTTACAAAATTGGAATCAGAAAGCAAATTGATCAGTATGAACTTAGGGCCTTAGAGAACTTTTCTTTGGTCAAAACTACTTGTGAAAGGAAAAAAAAAATCCTCTAATAACAGCCCATCTATTTAAAATCCATGAAAACTTCAGTAGTTTACAATGAACTTTTATAAAGATGTCCTTGGTTCTTTGAGTTTTAAATGTAAGTTTGGGAAGAGAACGGATCTGGAGAGTCTGTCAAATGAAGTGAAGGCATAGGAATTCCCAAGGGGTTATAGTTGGGATGGCGAAATGGGAGTCATGCAGATGAAGGTAGTTGGCTGATGTAGAAAAAATACAAGATTAAATGTAATGATAAACCTCAACAAATTTGAGTCTATAGAGTCCAGAGTTTATAAAACTGGAGACAGGAAAATAGATTCGATTGAAAAGTTATAACACAGTAAAGCTATTGTAGAGTGGCAATTTGATAAGAACTATTAAATAAACATGTTACTTTTGTAATGCACTAAAGTTTTCAATTCTGGCTATTAATGTTTTCCAGATGAAGTTGATCTATGAATAATTCTAACTGTTTATCATGCTCAGGAATCAGTCACAGACCTTTTGGATTATGACCCATTATAGTTATGACACTAGAAAATATTTTTAAAGGCCTTCAGAGATGATATGCAGAAGTAAGAGATGCATTAAGACTCTAAATCCTAGCTATTGTAGTGAGCCTTAATTATTGTGAAGCAGAAGAAACCAAGAAAAAACATATTAGCAGAATATGGTGTATACTGGTGTCTGATCATTAGAAGGTATGTTTTCTGGTATGTATATAGCCTTGGAGAGCAGTATAAATAATCCTGTTGCTACTGTTACATAAAAAGTTTCCAATACTAACACAGACATTTAGTAACCTGGAAAAAAGGCTCAGGACAGTGAAAGACCAATGGCATGAATTCTTCCTTTACCTAGCCTAGACTCATGAGTGCTGTGGGTCCTGCTGTATCTGCCTGTGCGTTATTACTCCCCACTTCACTGCTTACTACTCACTATAGCTCACAGAGCCTCCTTCATACGTCCCACTGCACTAAAACGTCACTCTTCCTGGTCTGGGTTTCACCCTTAGAATGCGTATGCACACATAGAACTGAGAACTTGAAGATTCCAGATTACTTTGCCTATCAGGGCATTCCTTTAGGGTTCTGCTTTGTGATGCCTCAAGGAGAGGAGTAGTCGTTTGCCTCTTGAGAAGCCTCTGGTCAGCTGCCTCTGAGCCATCAAGATGTCTATGTCTTCTCTTCCAGCAGCCATTCTGTCTCATATGATAGCTGTAAGCAACGTGCCTCCTCCTCCACTTCGCAGTATTCCAAGTGAGTGGGGAAAACCTGTAGGGTCTGCCACTTTTTCCAGTGGCACTTACCCCAGAGAAGACAAATGGGGCTTTTCAGGGTTGGTAGGCACCCTGGGAGCCTTACTGACAGCATAGTGGAATGGAAAGAACATGAAAGTGAAATCGCTCAGTCGTGTCCGACTCTTTGTGAACCCGTGGACTGTAGCCTACCAGGCTCCTCCATCCATGGGATTCTCCAGGGAGGAATACTGGAGTGGGTTACCATTTCCTTCTCCGGGGGATCTTCCCAACCCAGGGGTCGAACCCAGGTCTCCCACATTGGAGGCAGACGCTTTAACTTCTGGGCCACCAGGGAAGCCCCTAGATGTGCCAATTCTGCTGTGTCCTTCCGAAAACATTTTCATTCTCTAGGCTTCCAGTACTTTACTTAGTAAAATGAGCATGTTTATGAACTCTCAGAGCTTCAGATAGCAAATAGTTTAAAATGAAAAAAAAACCCGAAGGCTTAGAGAGGTCACCTGTCTTACCAGTGAATAGGCCTCCTGCTTCTGATGAGTCTCCAGGTGCCTACCCAGAGTTGGTTTTAACAGCCTGTCCTTTGTGAGTTAATTAATGCATAACTTTTACTAGGAGAATTCCTATTTAAAATTTTCAAGGGAAAAAAGACATAATTCCCATTTTTCTTGCTCTGAAATTTATTCCCATTTTATTTTAATTTTGTAGTCTTTGGTTTACAATATTAAAGGAATTATAAATATTGAGTTAAACATTTTGAAGTTTATATAATTTGCAGTGTTTTCTTATTTTATAGAGTCAGACTAAACCAGAATACTTTTCTCAAGACCTCTCTTCATAGTCATTGAATTCATAGATCCATTATTTGATCACCAATACACTGACTAATAATATGTAATAGTCCTAGTGATTGCTGAGATTTAAAAAAATTTTTAGATACCAGCAGTAATTGTGACCTTTTCAACTTCAATAATGCATTTATCTTATTATTTTAATATTTACTGGGCAAATTTCTAGTATTGATTTGAAAAAGCTAACCCATCTGTTCTTTTATCTTCCTTTGAGAATTAACTTTTATGTATATATATATATATATTAAATTAATGAACATAGTCACCAGTGAAAAGTTGCCACAGACAGCACTTGATACCATTTGAAAGGCTCTACTTAAGCCTTGAACAGTATTACATGAAGTCCTTATGTTAAATCAAATTTACTCCTATGTAAGTTACTTCTATATGTTTTTATTATTATTGTGCACAAATTCGTGTATGTAGTCAAAATCATATTTCAATGTCAGTGAAAATAAATGTCAAATGTAATTTTGTCAAAAAAATGGCAGTCTCTACTGTACAGAAAAAAGTTACTCTAGGATGGTTTCTTTTTTAGCAGCCTTGGAACTACAGTAGCTGGGAGTTATAAGATCAAATTAATTTAGAATCAATGGGATGAGACATGTGCTACCCTCTGTAGCATCTCCCAAGGACACTTAACTTGTGTGAAGTGATTAAAAGATGAAAAATCAGCAGCAATTTAGATCTCAGAACTGAATAGAACATAATGGAAAGGTGCAGAACTCCCGATTGTCCCTTTAGAGTTTCCTGCTTCATGTTCTGTGTGCGACTTCTCTTTAGATACGTGTCCGGCTTGCTTAGCAGCTGTGTCTTTGTGCTAACTCTAACAAGTCAGCAATTCCCCCTGTTAAACTCTGCTAAAACAATGATCCCGTGAAAGTGTATGTGAGGATGCTCTCAACCCAAAATATGACTGAACCTGGATTATAAAGGAGATACAAAGGGAAGTTACTCAAAATGCAACAGACATATATATAGGAAGGTGCAGTTAAGGACCTTAAAGAAAGTCTAGGCATTATATATATTCCAGTTTACTTAGGATCAGGTTAGCTAGGTTATGTTTAGTGAGTCACGTCTACCTTCTCTATAAATTTCATATGTGGATAACACTTATTGAGGGCTTTCTATAGGCAGTGTGTAAACATTTTGCATGTTATGTTGTTATTTCATTTATTTTCTACAAGAACCCATGAGCTCTGTGGTAAGCAGAATAATGACCCTCAATGATGTCCGTGTCCTAATCCCTTGAACGATGAATATGCCATGTTACTTGGCAAGTGGACTTAAGGTTACAAATGAAATTGAGGCTGTCAGTCAGCTGACTTTGAGACGAGACAGTGTTCTGGAATATCTGGTGGGCCCATCATAATCAGAGGAGTCCTTGTAAGTGGAAGAGGGAAGCGTGTGCGGCAGATACAGGATGAGAAAGGCTGGATTGGCTGTTGCTGACTTTGAAGATAGAAGGAGTCAGTAAGCCAAGGAATTCGGGTGGCCCCTAGAAGCTGGAAGAGAAATGGATTCTTCTCTAGAGTTTGTAGAAGGGACGCAGTCCTGCTGACAATATAGGTTTAGCTTAGTGAGACCTGTTTCAGATTTCTGACTTAGAGAACTGCAAGTTGTGTTGCTTTAAACCAGTAGGCTGGCGGTAATTTGTTACAGTGGCAACATAAAACCAACACATGTTACATTTTACAGTTAGGGACAGGGAGGCTTAGGTGTCATACTAGTGTTCACCTAGCTGTCAAGTGAAGTGGTAGATATCATTCACAGTATCATCCTTGTTGTGAATTTCTTCTACTCATAAACTAGCAACAAAGTCAGCCACACTTCGGCTTCCTTCTCGCCCACTACCCTGAAATCCCTCACACAGTTTACCACTTAAATGATGCTCGACACTCTTGATTTAAGGAAGAGAATATATCACACATCTTTAAACACCCCCCTACCCCGCCCCAGTCCTATCTCCTTGGCTCTGAAATTCAGACTCACAAACACTCGAGTAGTTAAGCTCCTTGAGTCACTTACAAATATTTTCTTTGAAACTTTCAAGACTTCTACAATCTCTTTGACTTGTATCTCTGGATTCTTCATAACCCAGGAAAGAGATGATTGGTCTCAAAAGCAAAAATGTCATGCCACTTTTTATGGTGGATAAGTTTTATTTTAAAAATCTTACAAGTTAGCTAAACCTGCAGTAGTTTTACCACTTATGTGAAATAGCATCTAATCTAGGGACACATTAGATCCGTTATTATTAGCAGTTGATTTTCTGAAGAGACAAAAGGAAGAAAAATGTTTTAAATGTTTTTTTAATTTTTAAGGAGACAGAGAGCTCTTCTTTAGCATTTGGCTGGAGGAAACCATTTCACACCTATAATTAGTATGGTCCAGTTAGGTACCTTTGTTTGGGTTAATAAGTTATACCTTCATTTTATTCATACTTGTTAGGTTTACCCTTCTGAGAAAGGACAATTTCAAAAGGACAATTTCAAAATTTCAAAACAAAACCATTTTGTATTCGTTTATCTGATAATTTCTGCGCTTTAACAGAAGGGTTTGTTTGTTTGCTTTCCCGGTAACAAATGGCTTTCAGGTTCGCAAGATATTAGTGGGTACATTTTGCTTGTTCCAACATATGGGGATGTGAAGAACAGACTCATTTGAAAAGACCCCGATGCTGAGAAAAATTTGTTTGTCTAATGCTTAGCATTCACGTGTTTAGTAAATTGACAGAAGAATGAATAAATCTCAATTTGTGGGAATTTTGGTGAACAGTGCTCTTTTACAAATCATTACATAAATAGTTATGTGCATCAGACACAAAGCCAGGTCATGCTAGTGGTAAAGAACCTACCAGCTAATGCAGGAGACCTAAGAGGCCTAAGATTCTATCCCTGAGGGAGGAAGATCCCCTGGAGAAGGAAATGGCAACCCACTCCAGTATTCTTGCCTGGAAGATTCTATGGGCAGAGGAACCTGGCAGGCTACAGTCCATGCGGTTGTAAAGCATCAGACATAACTGAGGACACACACAGAATCAAGAGAATATTACCAGTTGAGTGAGTCTTCCTCCCAACCCACACTCCTGATCTTATCCTCAGAAGTATCATAAAAAATATTTTTTTCTTGGAGTTTCCAAACTCATTCATGTTTATATGTGTTTGAATACACCACAATGCTACTAAAGGATGTTTAAGTTATTGTGTCTCATCTTCTAAGCCATCCTTCTGTATTCTGCTTTATGAAATTGGGGATGGGACTCTGCAAACCAGTTTTTCCCGAGAAGACAGGTGGCCTCCTATCAGGTTCTGTCAATAGCAGTGTTAGAGGGGGATTGGAAGGCAGAAGGGAAGTTAAGGAAAGTGTTTATTCTTCTGATTTCTGTTTTTGGTTTGTTTCTCCTTGTTAGTATCTTGCCAGAAATGTGTTTTTGACCCAGGCAGTGGCTGGCTGTTTGTTCCGGCAGCAGCAATTAATCCCATTTGCGGTTTTCCCGATATTCTCAGGAATAGCCCCATCACCTCCCTTCAAAAATCCAGTGCCAGCTGCTTAGGCCCTGTCCTCAGAGGGCCATGTTTCAGCTTTGTGGGGCCATTGATCCAGTTTTCTAAGTTTTAGTAGTTAAACCTCTTTCCTTTGCTTCATCAGCAGAAATATTGGTGGTAGATGCTTTCTGCATGGTATGTGATGTTCCTTTTTTTGTCTTTTCCTCTCTTTAATACCTTACAGTTCTTTGTATTATTTTTTTTCCATTAAAAATACTTATAGGCTTCTGTTTCCTGGCTACTGGATCCTAACTAATACTGTGGGAATTGTTTCTAGCAAGTTTTGCTGTTAAAATCAAATAAACATCTTGCATGTACCTTTTAAAGTTGGTAGGCAAGTGTTTCAATAGACCTGCAAGGCCAAAGGATGTGTGCATTTTAAATTTTGATAACTACTGATACTGTCTTCAGAAGAGGCTGTACTAATTTCTAGTACTACCATCAGCACATGTAAACTTCTGTTTTACAGCATTTCTACTGATATCATGTATATAAAACAAATGTTTGTCAATAAATTAATGGAAAACTATTTTAACTGCTCTTTAAGATTATTTTTCTTAAATAGTGAGGTTTAGAATCTTTTTATATATTTTTGGCAATTTGTA